GACGATAAAGTGTAAAGCCCGGCGATAGAAACTATAGCCCGACTGAATACTTTTTTATAGCTTTGCATAGCCCGGCTATATGATTTGCTCCGCTTTCTACAGCCAGCTATATGATTTTCAATAGCCTTCTTTAGTCGGCTATAAGAACTCCTACGGTATTTTGAAACGCAGCTCCTATCGCCAATTTTTACCAGGGTCATATTCTCTCCGATAATTATCCAATTTAGAAACCAAGTATATCCTCGTACTTAGTTTTCTTAGCAGCATCAGTTTAAAGGTGAAATTCACAAAATTTAAGACACCTGCAAATTCTCTATTCCAGTGATCGGCCCGCAGGAGGAAATTCTAGTTTCTTGGTTTCCCAGTATACCGTTGACTAATTTTATTGTAAGACAGGCCTGGTTACCGGCAACATCGGATGAATTGTTTGCGTTGCGGCATGCAGCCCTCTCTGGGAGTCTAACACGACGAGAAGGATAACATGTAATACCTGTCAACCCCGATTTGAAAAGGGCCGATCCGATACTGCACGGAGACGCAGCGCGGGTGAGCAGAGCATCGCTCGTTCCTCGAGTGGGCTTGTAATCGTAATCATGATCGTCGCAGTAATCGGCCCGGGCATCCCAATAAATCCGGATTAACCAAAAACACAGAGCGTAACGCCGCGCCGTAACACGGTTGCGACGACGAGTTTAGTCCACCCTCCGCAGTGGCGTGGCGTGATTTTCGATATATCGATTGCTCTGTCATTTAAATATGTGGAAAAAGATCGATGTACAGGGCGTTCGCAGCGAACACCTTAATAATCGATTCTTTAGCACAGTTTCAAATGGGGAAATGTCGATAATCAATTACTCGCTCCTCGCCACTGATCCTCAGTCCGTGAACGTACGATATTTGAACGTATCTCTGCCAAACGTAACTATGTGCAATAAGACATGAGCCCTGAGCCCTATAATAATATATGCGTAACAAGGCTCACGTCATAATGCACATACTTCCGTTTGGCAAAAATATATCCGTTTGTCAGAAAGAATTAAGGAGCCTCTTCAGGTGCCTCAAAGCACCAATCAGGGCAAAGAAATCAGAACCGCGTACGTTATTTTTGAGGTAGGTCGATAAATGTTATCATTTTGCTAAGCACCAACTTATTACCTCCGCTCGCTCCAGCGGCGATGTCGATGGCTAAAGTGTGAAACTACGTATCTCCACTAAGGCACTTCAAAATCTCTGCTCCTGTTTTATTTTTTCAAAGAGAAAAAAGTCAACTATACAGTTTGAAATTTCCACGGAATATTCTACCAACATGAGAGAAAAGTCAAGGTAGTTTTCAAGGAATTAAGTTGACAAGTTTGCCAAGGAAAAAATAAATGAGATGAGATCATCAATAATAAACAGCAATCAAAAAATATAGTATGGCCGAAAGTGTTAAACGTCGCAAATGGAACGTGGTTTTGTACTTTAGGCGTTGATACATAGCTCCATACCTCAATCTATAATGCAAAACCATGAGAGTAACGCGTATAACTCTTAGCGCCTAACGCCTAAGGCGCAAAGCGCTCCAAGGGGTTGAACCGCACAATACGGACATTGCATCACACGAAACGGAAATGTGAGAAAGGACGCGCGGTGACGACGGCGTAGAGATACAACTATTCGTGCTTGATGGATGTCCGTGTTGCATCTGCAAAATTGAAGGCGTGATGGCGCGAGGCGTGACCTCCCAATGCTCCGCCCTCAGCACTATTCTGCCATTGAGGTGTCGCTCAGATTCGGGAGAAAAGTTAAAACCAAATACGTATTTCCTATCTTCGCCTGTGTTGCTCACGTTCACGTAGCCCTTGAAGCGCCACTACAAACAAGACAAACGGAGACAAATATAATCTCGAGGGATAAAGCAAGGGAAAGGACGCGCGTTTATGGCGGTGCAGAAATTCAACTAATCGTGCTTGATGGATGTCCACGTTGCATCGCCGAAATTGAACTTTTGTCGAAGACTCGTATGTACTGGCCGCATACAACCCGCGTGCGTGTTTTTAGCAGGATTCGGTCCTACTTCGGAGTTCGAATAAAGTAAGTAAGTAAGTAAGTAAGTAAGTTGTAGTTGCTCGCTTGATATCCGCGAGTAAAAGAGGAGGAAATTACGCGAGTTTCATCTCATTACCGCGAGGAGTACGCGATATTTTCATCGGATCGGTTACATCCTCGGAAAACAAACGCGATTCATCTTGGTGCCGCGGAAAACGCGCAATTTCTTCGGCGATTGTTTGAAAAAAAAATGAGTAATCACGCTTTGGTCACCACCATTTCGCGGCAAGTACGCGATTCTTCTAGCGGTTTTGTAAAATCGTAAAAAATTACCCGTAATTCACTTCAATATCGCGACACGAAAGCAAATTTTTTCACAGCGAATGAGCAAGGTCACTGATGGTCAGGCGGATTTCACTTCAATATAGCAGAAAATGAGCAATTTTCATATCGATGCGAGCATATTTGTGATAAACGCCAGTTCCTCAGGGAAGACGAAAATCTAAGATTTTCCTTCAATTTCGCGTGATACCACATACTCACTCCGGAGTTCGAATAGTTGCTCACTTCTTATCCGCCTACGCTAAAAAGTGAGATATTCAGCGAATTCCATCTTGAGATCGCGAGAAGTACCCGATAATTCCGGCGGATTCGTTAAATCAACAGAGTTACGCGCTTTTTATCTCGGTATCGTGGAGAACGCGAATTTTTTTCAGCGATTTTGTAAAAAAGAAAAAAAAATATTATACGATTGTCACCGTAATATCGCGGAAATATGCGATTTCCCCGGTGACTTCCTAAAATCATTAAAAATTACTAGTAATTCACCTTAATATCGCGGCTCATACGCAACTTTCACAATTGATGATTAAGAGCACAAATAATTACATAATTTTACCTCCATGTCGCCGAAAATACGCGATTTGTACATCGATGCGAGTTTAATTTTCATACACGTCAGTAACTACAGACAGGCGAACACCAAAAATTCTCCTTCAATTTCGCGTAATACCAAATACCTGTTGCAAAGTCGACTCGGCTTGGGAATCTAAGGGTTATTTTATTAAATGCACGTGAGTAAATCTCTCTTTTTTTTTTTTTTTTTTTTTTTTTTTTTAAATAAACTTTAAAGTTATTTTATGCGACAAAAAGTTTCCAATGTTGCATTTTTCCTCTTCTATTTCTTATCTGCAGAAAAATAACTGAAATTGCTCTTGAGAGTGGGCACAATCTCACATTTTTGAAAGAGCCTCCCAGAACCCCCACGGACAGAGACGTGAGAAGGTTCACTCCCATTTTATCTCCTACCATCCTCTAGGAGGTGTGGTGATTTAGAGGGCTCACAGCATAAACTGGGCCAAAGAATCTATGTATCTGCAATCGGACCTGAGCCCCAGCTTCTTGAAGTTTTTCAGGGAATGTTTTGTATCTCAAAGCGCCCTTAAGCACATCAGGGCGCTTTTTAACACCTGAGGATGCCTTTCTTATGCTTGCCAGGGCCGGATCAAGGGGGTGGCCACATGGACCGCGGCCCTTGGCGGCAAATTTAGGGGGCGGCAAATTTTGCAATTTTTTTAAATGTAGCCATAAAAAAATCAGATTCAGACAAAAAAATTACGAAGGAGAAAAGGTGACAAAATCTCTCATTTCCTGAGAGTATACCTCTAATATTGTCGTCCATCTGTGATACAATAGACAGCACCTTTAATTAGTCGAGTTAAGACTAAGAGAGAAACCGAACACGGAATTTGGCCTGGAACGGCGCGGCGAAGAGAGCAATGATGACGAGAACGTGAGATGAAAAGGAGAAACCCTCGGCGCAGCGCGGCGGTCGGCATGTAGCACATATTAGCGCCTACAAGTCTGCATGAATACTTCACGCATTGCGCCAAAGACAGTGCGGTCGCTGCGGTCAGCAGCGGGCAGCGTGAAACGCATAGCGCCTACAAGACTGCATGAATACTTCACGCATTGCGTCAAACACAGTGCGGTCAGCGCGGCGCGGCGGCGGAAGTTAAAATTATTAAACCACATTTATGTTTGTTATTTCATAATTTTTTTGTTCATTTCTTATAAATGGAGGGCCTTGTCCATACAGAGATAGGTTTACGGAACTTAACTTTCGCGCCAAGTTCCGTGAACTTTTGCCAGTAAAGTTGACAGGGCTTTCACAAGAAATGTGACCAACACGAGTAAACGCGTCTTATACGCCTCTCTCCCTCCGGCACGTTTACTTGATGGTTTTTATTGATGTTTCAAAACGGATGAGAAGGGAGCGGCAAAATACAGGCGGCCCATGGGCGGCAAGTGAATAAATCCGGCCCTGATGTTTGCCGAATAAAATCATTCTACAGGTGGTAATGTAAGTGCTGTAATAATGCAAAGGTCACTGACGGCATCAAACTCCTCATTTTGCATTCTACAATGAATGCTCTCTCCTGCCTCCCTTCCTTTTTCATCGCCTCTTTTTTACTTCGATATTTTGCTCTTCTTTTTTCCTCCCTTTTATTAATTTTCTACCTCATTTCCTCGCTTTTTTCTCATCTCTTTTTCGTTCTCCCCTGCCTTTTCTTATGTCTTTTTGGCACTCCCATTTTGACGGCGCCTGGGGTTATAGAGTTACACTGTTTCTCCTGCTCAAAAAAGCGACTGCTGGCGGCTGGTCCTGCAGGGGAGTCTCCGACGCATTCTGCTGTTATCTGTTAGTATCTAATTTGTCCATGGGGATCCCTCAATTTTTCGGCATGTTCGAAATGAAAAAATTTAAATAATCTATCAGCGAAAATGAAAAAAAATAGACAAATTTGCGTTAAGGGTTTATCCTCACTCCTCAGCCTCAGCCTCCCGGGGCATAACTCTTAAAGCAGTGGGCGAAATTTCATATTTAGCGCCGAAAAGGTGGCGCAACCTTGCGGACTTTTCTGGTAACTAAGTTTTTTCTATTGTTTTGTTTTGTTTTTGAGGTTATGTGCTTATCATCTACTTCTTCTTTTTCAAAGTGATCGTGAGATTTGGTAAGAAGCGGTGTCGGTCATTTCTATTTGCAAAAAATAATCAAGTCGCAAAAATGTAAATACATTGGATACACTCTAAGATTCTCTCTATTGACTACGGGCTTACGCATATTTTTCCTCAGGTTTGTATTTCAGTTTTCCAACTTGCCCTCTTTTGGATATCGTCTGTCACTTAGAAGTCACCATCAGTCCTAGAGTCTGCAAGACTTCAAATTGCTGACTCTAGATTAAAGGAATAGTTCAGTATTTTGCTCAAATTTACAATAATCGTAAATTTCTGCAGTTTTTCATTGCATGATTCCTGCGCCTGTTCATCTTTTTACCAGCTACTGGAACCTCATTAATCATAGGGTCATATCGATAGAGTCCATGCTGAAGAAAGGCGATGTACTCTTTGAATGGAACAAAAGATTAGCTGTCTTCATTACCATTGAAAGTAAGTATAAGGACTGATGAGTAAGGATGGCAAATCCTCTGTCTTTTACTCCCACAGTATTTCAGTACTTATCCTCATTTGCTGTGATTTAACTCAGAATTTTTCTTCAGAAGCAATAAGCTGGTCATAATTCGGAAGACTTTTATTATGTACTCATTAAAAAGTGATACTTAAAGCAATATAGCAGCTGTCATTTGATGATGATCAAAATATGTACATTACTGTATTATTAATCTGCAGCCTGATTGTTGAAATTTTTTGCTTATCGGGATAACATAGGTTAAAAGTTGGAGCGTGATTGGACGGCTATGTCTTATCGCTGCTTTGTCGTGCCTATGTCGGGTTGAATTCACGACAAGCTAACGGGACCACTTAAGTTTCCGACAGTATGTTGTCTATTCCACCTGACAAAGGCACGACAAAGCAGCGATAAGACACAGCCGACCAATCAGCCTTTTAACCCATGTCATCTATGTCGTCACGACAAACAAAAAATTTCAACAATCAGGCTGCTGGTGCTATTAGTCATCACACTTGCACATAAGTTTTTAAACCCTGGATGCAGTGAATGTATACAATACACTCAAATTAGAACGTAATTTTAATTTATCATACTGGAATAGTTCACTCAGTTCATGTGCTGAATCTCCTTATTTTGAAGTGAATCACTTGAACAGATCATTTTTGTTTTCTGCTACTCAAATTTCCATGGAAAAGATTGAATGTATTGCTGATTGCTGTAAGGAAATGTTGTTGCCACTTAAGTACTTACAACTAGTTTTGGTTAGAAATACGCAAGGTTTTTTTTTAGGGTTCTACTTTAAATAGGAACTGATTCTCAGAAACGTTGATTCTGCTTCACAATGGTACGTACAGAAAAAAGAAGAATTTAATATTGATGTTATTCTCCAAGAAGTGAGAAGTTTGGGAAAAAATTTTAAACTCTTAAAGCTAAATCTGCAAGATGTACCATGGACCAATAGAATAATGTATTTAATTCGTCTCTGGCTGTAGGTACTTCAATGCTTTGGAAAAAGAATTCCGCATTTTGACGCAAAAATGCCTCTTGTGAATTCAGTTTAGTTGATGAGATAACTATGCTTAGTTTCTTTTTTTCCAGGTCGAAATGTTTCATGATCTCAGAATAATTACACTTTTTTGCGCCAGTTCCTGATATTACCTGCTCATCCAGATTTTGTACTTAGTATCACATTCCGGAAACTCATCAGGTAGTGTAGTGTAATTTCCCTTTTCCATATAGATCAATCTAAGTAGAATAGATTTCTCAATGTGAAGATGATTTCACAGTTAAGCATGTAGAACCCTTCAAACAATATTTTAAAAGGTCCTATTATTTGTGAACCACTGAATCTCTCAAATTTTCCAAGTAACACATCGCAATTGGCAATGTTCAAAAGAGGAAGAAAATGAAGAAACTGCCATTTGATGGCGCAGGGCAAACGATATTATTTGATATGATGTTCCTTATGACCTCCTGAGCATGATGAGCTTTTAAAATGAAACTTGCTTTGTACCATTCTGGAAAAAAGCCAGGATGAAAAAAAATTAGCCCGCATTTTATACACATCATTGATTAGATGTGATGCGACATGAGATTGGCAATCAAGAGAGCTTTTGTTTAGCTCAACTTAGCTATTCCTAGCTAAGTTCATCTAACTCTTATATCTGGACATTCAACCTTAGCAAATGTTTCTATATAATCTCAGAGAGACAAAACTCTGAATTTGTCTGTAGCTATCCTTTAGTTGAGAATCAACCTGACATATCTGAAAAATAATTATGTATTATGTTGTTCTTACAGAGTGTAAAAATATGGATAGTTTTGATAAGAGCTGTAACGTAGCGAAACATAATTATGATGAGTGCTTTCAGAAATGGTTTAATCGCTTTTTAAAGAACCGAGACACAAATCTTAATGTCTGTGATGCTGAGTTCCGAGAGTACCAACAGTGTTTGAAGGTATGGTTGATAATTTATGCTCATGGTTTTTTTTTTTTTTTCAGGGATAGAGTTAGTGTTTGCGTTTTTTCACGTTTTTTGCGAAAAATGGATGCGTGTAGCCATTTAAAAGAACAATATGATACTTGTTTCAACACATGGTTCACTCAGAAATTCCTCAAAGGGGATTATGATGATGAAATGTGCGCACCTCTTTTGAAAGTTTACACTCAGTGTGTTAAGGTATGAGCAGCTAGTTAGCAGCTGTTAGTCTGTTTTGATTTCAACTTTCTTACTTTAACAGCTTTGTAAGAATCTAGGTAAAAGGGACTCAAGGTGAAAACCCACTATTTTTGGCACAGCATGAAAACAAGTTAGAAGTCAAAATTCTTAACTTTCTATTTGTGATGCTATCTACCGCTTGATATCCTCAAGCTCATTTGGTCGAACTTGTGAGATCACAATTTGTACCTAGAAGCGTCTAAACTGACTCAAGAATAGGGCCAGCGGCCCAATTATTGAAACTGTGTCAGCTCGACATGAAAAGACATAGTCCTATCTTAACCATGCAATATTCTGGAATTTGATGTCTTGCCAGGTTGCTTTAAACTTTCAATAATCGACCTGCTGATCTGTTATTTTTCAGTTAAGAGGCATCAGCTGTTTGTTTTTACAGGAATGCCAATTTATGAATCGGTATAGTTTTTTCCTCTCTCTTTCTTTTAATATACACTGCATTTATTGGTATTTTTAAGTTCAGGATACAATTTGGAAGATGTATAAAGAAATATTCCTTTTTATCAGTACTGGATGTATACAAATTTTTATGAAATTGTTGTGAGACATTGAAATGTTCTCGAAGAGTAAATTTTCAGGCGGTTTAAAATTGTGATGAATGGTAAAGAGCCTCTCATCTTTTTCATATTATCTCTTTTTTTTTCAATTTTCTCTTGAAGTCCACTTTTTTTGGTTTCTACAACATATGGCAAGGTCTGGTGTAATTTTTCTCTTGATTTGAGTAAAGTATCATGATCCCAAACGCATTGAAACCAAAAGAATTTCATTATTCTATCACTGTAAAATAACTTGGCATTTTTCATAACAATTGGGCAGTTGCCCTATCTAGTCACAGAGTCATTTTTTGATAGTGTAAGCTTATAAATTGGTAAAAATTGTAAGATTTTTCAAACGCAAAATTTTCGTGATCAGTAAGAACAGCGGTATACTAAGTGGACCACACTTTGCAATTGGGAACGACAATTTCCAGCTCAGTTAAGAAACAACATATGTGCCTTTCTTATCCCTATGCGTCCCCATGAGCGTTTTTACGTATGAGCCAGATATTTTAGTTCCTTATTGAAAAATGAAGTCCAATTAATGAACAGCAAGTAAATAAGTTAACTCCAACTACCTTTAAATTGTTTTTGACATCATCTGAAATTAGCCATTTTCCTACTGCGTCATACCTACAAATCTTCAAAAAAAAAAAAAAATATATATATAATGGTTCATGGCATTTAATTTTTGTAACTTTTTTTAAAATTTATTTTCGTTTGTTTCTTTAGAAAGCAATGAAAGAAGAAAAACTAGATTTCAAAGAGTTCGAAGAAGACATCCTGGGAACAGAGAAAGAGTACAAGCCACCTCCCCCGAAATGACCCAGTTCGTGTTCATTGGTACAAAGCCATCAAATTATTCCATTCGTCTCTCTTCCGTACTGTTAGTCTATTCGTTTTATCTCTATATTCTGAGGGAATGTTAGCAATTTTTACCTAACTTATATTTCTGCGTCTACCTGTTGCTTGTCTCTATTTTTGACCCAAGTTATTTTTCTATTTCCTTTCAAAAAGGAATTTTCCCTGTAAATACTTTTTCAAGCAACTGAATGAAATTAAATGTTTTTAAAAATGTTCTTTACGACTTTTAATTTATTTTTATTCACTTTTAATTTCTAGAAACTGGAGGTGAAAATTTAGAGAAATATACTTTCAAGAAATCAATGTGATTTAGCGATCAGTGGTAATGAGTGTTTCTTCCTGACACTTCCACAATGTAAAGGATACTCGCACAACGGAGTATTTGTGAATGTTACTTGCACTATTCTGCCTCCAAGAGTCAATGATGCTGTTATGCCTTTCTTACTTGGTTTTATCCATTTTTACCTCTTATTTTAACCTATTTTTGTGAAAGAGCTTTCACATGGAGACTTTAATGTAACTCATGGAATACCATTTATCTATCAATCTATGAATCATCATCTCCCTTCAAAATGAAAAGAAAAGGCTTTGATGGACACTGTATTCTCTGCAAAAATGTATCTTTTGATAATGAAGACATTTAAATTTGGATGATTACTAGGTTTGTAATTGAACTGCATAAAAAATATTATGGATGTGAAACAAAATTCAGGAAATAACACAGATTGTATGTATGGAAGAATGCAAATTAGATTTACTTAAAAATTGACTTGGATCAAGAATAAAATAAATTCTACTTCTATAACTATACACTTTAATGCAAAGGTTGCGAGCACAAGGGCATAAGTACACATGGTGAGATGGGTAGGCAGAGAAAAGCAAGATTTTTATAAAATAGACAAATTATCCAGGGGAAAAGGTTTAAAAGAAAATATGAGATACTAAAACTTTCGAGAAAACATGTTGCTTACATTTTTATGGAGAACTGAAGTCGACACAATCGATAAAATAAACCAACTTGAGAGCAAAATCAATTGGATGGATTTATAATGGAATCAGCCTAACTGGGTTTCATTGCTGCCGAGTTTTAATTCTAATCTTTTATTTTTTTACCAAAGAGATAAACTACTTAACACAAACTGCTGCTAGATTTTTTTTAACTTTTATTGGAGAACATAACTAAAAAGTATACATGTTTTTACATTCATACTATACTACTAGTAAACTCTCTGTAAATGTACCCTGGATTACGAAGAATGCACTCACAAAATTTCAAGTTTCAGTGTAGCCTAGTTGGATCACGTTAAAGAGAAAGGAACCAAGCCACATCAGCTATTGCCAAATTTAATTTGGCAATTCAATTTTCTACATGAAAACGGTTGTGCAGATTTTTATGCAAATTTCAGCGAATTTTCTCCATAGTACAAAGCAAATTCCTTAAAATTTTCCCAGGAATCCACAGAAACGTTCCCTTGTAAAAAATTAAATTGTCCAGTTAAATTTGGCAATAGCTGATGTGGCTTGGTTCCTTTCTGTTAAACGCGGTCCAGTTTTCTGTTTGAAAAATGAAGCATCAGAGAAAATTCGGCAACGTCTTTGATATAGTTGGGCTAATTCTAGTTGAATCCACCCGATTTCCTTTTTTGGTCTGGGTCTTAGAATTAAATGGTAAAACTTCATGTATACATTTACTAGATATCAGCTTCTAACGTGGATTTCAAGGAAAATAGAAGGAACTGTTCACTAAATTGTACGCAACAGTCCTAAAATATGCAGAAGCTTTTACTGATACATCTACGAACACTTCTGAAAACATACATGAAACTGTGTGGTATGAACAGTCCATAGAAAAAACAGGACAAGAGAAGATCTAGTTTTTCTCAATTAAAATTATCAAGGCAGAATGGTAGTTGAAATCCCTCAATGGTAACAAACTGTGAACTGTCTGAGTAGAAAAGAGAAAAGAATGGGATAGTAGGGAGGTAAGGAAACTCAAACCCACAAACTAAATTAAACACTGATGTGTTTCGGGACCCAACAGCTCCTTCTTAAGACTGAAATGCTTACTTTAATTCGTATTGTAAGTATGAGTTTTCTTAATTTTCAGATTCTGTGTTTTTTCGTATTTATCCAGCTCACTGTTTGTTACCTCGTTTCTATCAGTTTCATGCAAAAAGTAAACTGTCTACAACATTGACACTCCAATGAACCCTGTAGGGCCCTGCAGATTCTATCCATTCTATACTAAATTTCAATAATTATTATCTTCCATCTCATTAAGTATAAGTTTCATCCACATACATTTTTCAATTTTGATGTAGGTCAGACGCAACTCAAACAAAATGAATATTATACACAAAGAGGTCTAAAGACCGAACTGATACCTAAGATCTAGAGATAAAATTTGAAAAGTATTTTTAGGAGGTAGTTTTTTTTCATCAATTTTTTGATTGTTCCTTGACACTCTCGATACAAACATAGAAGCCGATCTACACGTAAAGGTTCATCAAAAAGATTAGTTTTGATTCCATATGACTAGGACTGAACACAGTTTTCTTTCGGTTGAGGAGATAGTCGGTCTTCCTTAAAATCAAGCTGTAGTCAGTTTGTTCGAATATTTTTCTAACTAATTACTTATTATCACTTAAATTTATACAGACATCATTGCACAAAATTTCACTAATCTAATACATATATCACAAATGCAACTAAGTCGGAGGAAAGTAATTAATTTAACATTAAAAATAAATCACATATATTATGACAAGGGCAACATCAGGGGTCATATTTTTATAAAAGGAATACCAGTCATGAAAGTGCCTGAAAAAATGGGCTTCTGGACAAGGATTGAACTAGATATATACGTCACATATATTCTCTTTAAAATAGTACATGGAAAACGGTTCACCCAACAGAAAGTTCTGAAATCAACTTCTGGACTAGATATTAACAAGTATTTTGAACGCAGATCAAATAGGAGTTGAAAACAAATTAAGTTATTTGTACTTCTGCCATTTAACCGATAGGAATTGTAAGCACTCATATCGTTTTTGAGAGTTGATTTTCAAACCTCCTTTTGTTAGACTCATTTTCCTAATAAAATGTTGAAGAGAAAACAAATTGCATACAGCTCTAATTCATACCGTGTCTAAGGCCCATTATTATAAACTGCAGTTAAATGGTGAAATAAAAAATGTCAAAACTCGATTACCCTGTTTAACTAGAGAGATAGGTTGAGGGATGGCAAAAATGTTTGATAGTGAAAAGGCTTATAATTTGATTTTTTGAACTACCTTGCGACAGATGAGTAAGTACGCTGATATGTAAAAAAAATTTTTTCATAAGAGGTAAAAATCATTTCCATCAAATCTCTTCTTTTCCTTAAAATATATTGTGGCCTTTACTCTTTTTTTCATATTTTTCACTTCGCTACTCCTGAAAAATGTGATAATGGAGAGTCCAATAGTTAAGTTTTGGACGATGAAGTGGCGACTGGTCCTTATAAAAGTAGGAATGGTTTTAAAACAAAATCGTTTCCAATGTAAGGCTAAATGTATGAAGATTGATGCTGCAAGATTTCAATCTTCAATCTAGGCTTTCAAGTCTCTAAATCCCGAGATTAATAACATAAAACTGAATGTATCTGAGCAGATTGGATCCAACTACAATCAGAATTTGAAGATCATAATTTTATAAACTGTAGACACATACATGCTTTTTCAAATCTCATAGTGCTGATAGATTCTTTCTGCTGATGACACTTAATTCTAGGCTCAATGAGATCAAAAATTTTGATGTGTTGAGCTAAAACCCAGTTCCATCACCTCTTGCTACAATGATAATTTTAGTTATAATTTAACAGGAATTTTTTAGTGTTAAAAGGTTCCATTGTTACTTTTTCATTCAGACTTTAAAAATAGTTCAGGAAAAGCAAGAGAGGTTTAGCTTCGGTGGATGGTTAAATGTGGTCTGAATGACATCATAATTTTTTGACTGGGGATTCAACATCTACATGGTTGCTAAACTAAACAAACTTTACATCAGTAACGCATTTGTATAGTTTCCTGGGCTAATTCAATGCATTGTTCAGTGAAGAAATTGGTGAATTTATACTGACAAATTTGATCTACTTGAGACAGGAAAAAGGTAAGAAGATGATTTCTTGCTAACAAATTGTGAAGAATGAGCTAAAGTTAACATCTTTAATTTGAACAGCATAGAGAAAATTAAAAGAAATAATTCACCCCAATCCCAAGAGATGGATCAAGTTTCTTGACAGTGTTTACTTCCATACAAGTGTAAACATCTTACATAAAATTGATATTAACGATTGGTAAAGTCTTAAAACAAGTCATGACTCATAAAAAATATAAATTTAAAATTTAACTTAAAACCTACCAGTTCAACAGAATAAAATTAAGTACTATTTAATACTGCGATTGAGATTATCTTCAGTAACTGTCTTTGAAGGCTTGCATTTATAAAATATACCAAAAATTCTAAGAACAATGGCTCATAGGTGTCTCCAAATGCTAAAATAACTTTTTGCAAGTACAAAAAAAAAAACATAGAAAAAACTTAACTGAGAAACTTACATAGAGATTTTATCTGGAAACAATAATAAAACCCTACTTTCTTTTCCACTAGCCTTGAGTAGCTGCCTCTTATGACATCATTTGATATTTTCATGAGTAGCGATAAAGTAACTCTTACAGTGAGTTTATCATGATTTTAATAAAGAGATAGCACGGTACGGTATTTTCATAAAAAACTGTGTTGCTTGACATATCTCAAACAGGTAGTCGTAGATTAAACTGAGATAGATGGCTTGGTCAACACCTCGCTGCAAAAGAGGGGCATAAGTATGTTAAAGGAAAACAAGAAAATAAAACTGAATATTAACACTTAAATTAATTTTATAAACATGATATGGATATGATTGAGGATTAATCTTTGAATGGTAATAGAAAACAAGGAGAGCAAGAAAGTAAAAATCGAAGGCCAAATAGGAGCTTTGTTCAAAAAATTTTAAACAACATCCTTTAGCTGCCACGCTTCTAGATCACTCAAAAAGCAAGCATGCAAATACTATCTGTTATATGAATAACTAATAAGTATTTCAAGATTACTCATTGTACTTTAAAACTTAAAGGATCACTGGACGAGGTATAAATAAGAGCATTCTGGTACATGCTCCTTCTCCAAAATTTCACATAGAACACAGTTCGTGCGACAAAATTTACTGAAATTGACTTTTCACCCCGATATTGATGTTTTTATGAAGCACTAGCTACGGAACATTCAAATTTCTTGCTACCAAAAAAAACCAGAATCTACTTGAATCAAATCACGCACTAAAACAGTTTCAGCAGGCTTCTCCATTGAGTAGTGCTCTTCTCCTCTCTCTGTGTTGTTCAAAATGTAAACAACATGCAACAACTGAGTCGAAACCCCGACAATGAGGTTGCCAAAATTTTAAACAGCAAAGACCGTTCTGGTAACGTTTAGTGTTTAGACTGCGACTTAACTTAAGAGGATTTTGCTTTCATTATGAGCGAGAAATTTGAGTTTATGAATTGAAAAACGTTGATATCTTGATTAGGAGTTACTTTTAATAATTTGTATTACAAAAATCGTATTTAGCTTGAAATTTTCATGAGAATACATAATGCATAATGCTTATATTTGCATCTTGTTCAGAGGTCCACTATGAATGCTTTGATGTTGTTTGAGGGTAGCATTGAATTTTTGAGGCAAAGGTTCCTGTACCTTAGATCTTCTCAATACAACACTGCTATTTTTTAGTGGAGAATCTGTAGGCTTTACTTTACATCTTCTACAAAAAAGAAAAAATGAAAAAAAGGCCTCGAACATTTTTCTAGTCTCCTTGTATAGTATATCTACCTGTGGAACTACAGACTAATGAGTTAAGTGCATAAAAGAGAAAATGGATTGGCAACCTGAATTGCATGAATTGCCAGAAAATTTGAGAAATCGAGCAACATCACCTGCCTGAGTGGGTGCAAGGCATGGAGACAAGTTGTGAGCGGCATCAGGTGCTACATGTGCACCAGTTGCAGCATTTCTCCCAAAGGTTCGTTTTTACCTCACAAGCAGACTTAATTCTCTTGTTTTGAGGTAAGCCTTAATCGTTGTCTCAGTGGCAATATACATCTAAGTATGTCTGACTGACACTAGAAAAATTAAAAAGAACTAACCTCATAGGATTTGAAAGTTCGCCTCATAGCTGCAAATCGCTTTTCCTCTTCAATAATGCTCCTCAGAGATTCATGCGAATTACAGAAGTTATTCCACCTTCGGCAAACACGGCTACAGGCTAGTAATGATTGTCCATTCAGCTGCCTAAAAAAGAGAGAATATGAGTCTTACGTTTTTTTACAAATAATTAAACATTTGCCAAAAATTTTTTTGGGTCATTTGAAAAACCTACATTGAAATAATTTTGACCCCTGGTTATTAAAGTTCTCTCCTCTTTCAGCTCTCTTTTTCCTCTTATGTTCTGTTTTGGTAGGTACCAGCAACAAAAAAAAAAGAAAGAAAAAAAGAAGACGAAACAAAACTAAGCAGTAGTAATTTTTAAAGTTTCAGAAAAAGTAATTTTCTTAGAATTGCTAACAGTCCGAGAGACAGGTCTAAGTAACTGGCAAACATTAGACCCATGAGCCATTGAGAATGAGCCACAGACAGGATAAGGCAGAAAACATCATACAATTTTCCTTAATTTAAAGCTCATAAAAAAGTTTTGAACACAGTGAAAACATCCTACATGAATCCGAGAACAAACGATTAGGATTTATGGTTTACATCAGAAACAGTCAACTCAAATTTTTTACTTTCTAGTTGCAGTCCGTGAGCATTACGCATATACTGAGTCGTAATTCTGCTTTTAAAATAGGGTTGTGACTGTCTCATTTACAATCTAGTCAGTGGCAAAGCATGAATGATCAATTATCAATATTCCCCCATTTGAATCCAAATGGAAGAATCGATTATTGAGGTGTTCCCTGCAAACACCCTGTTTATCGATTCTTTTTCATGGGTTGAAATGGCAGATCAATCGATGAATTGCAAAGCATGCCATGCCACTGCACCGAGTAGATTCAAGTGGGTAGATACCAAGTAATAGAATTGGAAGGCACCTACTCCGCAAGGATAATCTCAACCTTTACAAAGTGAGGAAAGAATGAAGGTAAGAGCAGGCCAAGGGATGTGAGCTGCTATCAAGCATTGAATCGCTCAACTCTGAGAGTGCAATACCTCCCTTTGTCTGGATTCTCTTATCGAGTTGCATTTTTCGCTCAACAACTGAATTTTGTCAGCACTTATGCATAGAAATGCAATATCCACTCTAATGCTGAAACTGCTCTACCAACAGATCAAAAGCCCTGGAATGGACATAAGTGCAGTTGCAACTCATCTGAGGTATATTGAAAGTGTTTGGCCACTGATAAAAGCAAGCAATCCTTCACTTGCGGCTCCATGTACATTTCTGTTCTTACTACTACTAAAATGTACTAACTTAAATCCTTTAATCAATTATATTTAACACAAGCACGTGGGACGTGGATGTTGGATTTCCTGGCCAAATGACTCTTGAAATGGGATGAAGTTAGAACATTCTTCACCACGGGAAATTTGATTATATTTTGCAATTAGGAACGGCTGGCTCACGCATAAAAGCATTTATGTGCCCAGGGCAACTAATGATACACAAGTGGTTTTTATGCTGAGCTAGAAATTTTAGTGCCTAATTACAGAAAGTAGTCTGATTATATCTTAGATAACCTGAAGATTTATTGATTTAAAGAGTGCATAAGTGCGACAAATTTTAGCTCAACATACTTATCGATAGGTCCCCCAAAATTTATCTGTTCAGAATCATTAAAAAAAGATATTCAAGAACTAAAAAAACTCACTCTAAAATCATAAGGGATACTTCCTCAGGTAACAACAGAATGAAGTCCATTTCGCATTCTTTTTCTTTCTTACAACACCCCAATAGTTGCAGCAGAGAGAAATTATTTGCCTCTTGGATTAGATCAGCGGCCGCGGTAAAGGCAAACTTTAAAAGCATTCTGTAAATGAAAATGGTAATATAAAAAAAGAGGAAGTTTAGAAACACCACCAGTAGAAAAAGTTTGCAGAAAAGAAGGAAAAGAAATGACACTGTGGTTTTAAAACTTAACAAAAAATTTTTTATAAATGAAAACATTTTAACAGCCAGGTGCATTAAAAAAAACAATTGTCCACAAAAAAGTAGAGTACAAATGAAATGAAGAAACTGAGTAGAAAGAAAATTACCTGATGACCTTTGGTCTGAAGATGAGTCAGAAATCGGGAATAAAACTAGGGTCTATATCAATGATCAATAAGTACAATTGTCCAGAGATAGGTACATCTGCAATATGTGCTGTCAGCTCATCATTAAGTAGCTTAATGTTTCGGTTCCTGGTGTCATCAGTAGTTAATAACCCTCGTAAGTAATAATCTGGAACAACGGTATAACAGATCAGAAACGGGAATTGATTGTTCTTAACTCCCCAGTCACAACCAAATTGTGGACATGTCCTGATTGGTGCAGAGACTAATTATATTTGTTTTTATTTTTGTTGATAATTTTTGCCACCTGTCCAACCATAAAATTTTAACTCACAAGAACCGTCAAAGAGCAATTCTGAAAGCTGATTCTTACCCTGCCTTTTGGTGGAAACTTGGAGCTTTAGAACTTTAACAATAATTTAATGACACAATATGTTGAACTAAAGACAAAAACCATGATGAGAAGCAAAAATTTACTAAAACTTTGATCAGCAGAATGTGTAGACATTTTGGCAAAAACCCATTGCACTGCAGAAAATTCAAGAGCCTTGATGAGAAATGCAGAGGCCTAGAACGACTTGCAGCCCTTAGAAATTCAAAATGTCCAAGATCTGAGAACATATTACTCCTCACTGGTTAGGCCATATGGGAGCTTTGCAAACCATTCTACTTACCAAGCTGAAGGCTGAATACTGACCTGAAAGAAAGTCAGGATGTGCTGTTTACTCAGAACTTCATTTTTACACTTACGGCTCTCTTCGCTATCACGGCAGAACTACCGATGACTTAACACTGAATTAGAAACAAAACAATTACAAGCAGATGATCTGAGGGCTTACCTAGTTGCTAACTGTATAAAAAGCAGGAATGCACCTGGTTCTTGAGGTCTCAAACGTGGTGAGGTGATTACTCACAGTTGCAAGATAATAAATAGAAAGCTGAACTCACTGAACTCCATATTTCGAAAATCTACTCGACATACATTTCTTTAACCTAAATTGCGACACATTCCGTGCGTCACATTTGTAGAGGCTCAGAAACCAGTTTTGGACAGTGCTACACGAGACGATCTAGATTAGAAATAAGTAATTACTTAATAATGGCTCTAACCACTCTAACTAATGTGAATGCACTGATTAGCTTTCTCTAGCCAGTTCGATGCACTATGCCTACATTTGTCAAATGATAAAACACGTTGAATTAGTTAAATTTGGGTAAGGTAGGAACAGCAAATCACAAAATGAGAAAAATTAACAATGTTCATTCTATACAACCTAGATTTTCGAGAGAAAAACCTTACTTAAATATTAAATGTTTAATGTAGTTGTTGAAGGAACGATAACTGATAGCAAAAGAAAACAAAGGCGCAGAGAACATATGGCTTTGGCAGTGTTGCCAAATATTCAACATATAAAAAACAAAGTCTCTTTACGAGAAGTTTAGATATCAAGCCATGCTATAAAAGAAATATACAGACCTTTATTAACAAAATGTCAACACCGTGCGCGAAACACGGTTGTGTGAAGCTTGCGCATCGTTTTTGCAATTTGCATTGCAAATCGAAGCATGCGAACTTGAAACTTGAAAGTGAGACTGTTTCGCTCGTGCTGATAAGTGATCAAGTGAACTTTACGCTAAAAGTTCGGCAGTATTACGTTGTAAACGCGATGTGTGTTCTGAAACAGTGATGATCGTTCTCTGCAGCTCCTAATTTGAAGCCACAAGAAGAGTCCAGTAATTTTCAGGTCAGTGTTTCAATTTTCTGTTTTGGAATGCTGGCTTTTAGGTTATACTGAGGGAGGTTGTTTTTACCAGAGGTCGAAATTTTTCAAGAAAACTGCATTTGATTCTTTTAGCTCCTTGGCACTGCCCTAAAATTGCGAAGCACACCAGAAAAATGTAAAAGTCTGCCAATTGATTTTACAATCCTTCCCTCAGAATAGGAGTGCCTAATAAACTTGACACTTGCCGACGAAAGAGCGGGAAAAGTCTTTTGGTGTACTTTTACTTAATAACTGCATTAAAAAAAGTATACACACCAGTAGATTCAGTAGTTTAATGATCATTTTGCTCCTTCATCCTCAAATCTATTTGAGCAGTTACAGAATTGCAGGAAGTAGATGAATTTGAGGATTACTTAGTCTATAATCTAATGACAGTCGCGAACTATACAAGTCTGCATTGGGAAGTAAAACTTCTCCAAATAGCCCTCTGACAATTTTGCGAGTGAACCCTTAGATTGATTGAAGGACTCAAGTCTTCAGATTTTCTGAACCATCACTAGCCGAGGGAAATGGATACCTTAATTGTCACAGTTTCATGGAGCACTCTACCTGAGTTTTTAGTCTCTAATATTTGCATTCAAGATAATATCCATGGTGAGCATACCTTGAAAACAAGTATCATGATTGGGGATGTATCTTGTGCAGTCCAGCTCTCCTGTTGATGATTTCGGTTTCTCGAAGTAGGATGCTAGAGACCTCCAAACATTTTTATTTTTCAAATTGATAATTCATAAGATAATGATGCATATTGACACACTATTATATAGTTTGAGTAAACCAACCTTTAACTTCTCAAATTTCAAAAATAACAAACGCCTCAGTTTTATCGATGACTGCGCAGAGAAACAAAGATTCATGCGAGAGATTCATGCTTGACGGATGTTTGTATAGCATCTGCAAAATTGAAGGGGCGATGGCGCAAGGCGTCAATTCAACTCTTTGCTGCCGATGAAGTATCGCTGAGTTTTGTCAAGAAAGTAAATAAAAATGTGGCTCGATTACGCCTCTCCGATCTACGACTGTTGCTCACGTAGTCCTTTAATGCGCCACTACAAAAGAGACAAACGGAAACATACGCAATATGGAAATAGAGCAATAAGGACACGCGTTGATGACGGGGCGTGGATACAACTATTCGTACTTGATTAACGTGCGTGTTGCGCACGCAAAATTGAAGGCGCGCTAGCGCGAGGCGTGAACTCGCAATGCTCAGGCTCAGACTCTGGGTGAGAGAAATTAAAAAAAGGAGGCCCGATTACGTCTCTCCTATCTATTACGGCTGTGTTGACAATTGATTTTTTCTTTTTTCTCAGTTTGTGTGTCCTTCTATTTTCAAAATGTATTTATTAATCTTTATGAAGAACTCGTGTGTACTTGGGTCAGTTTGACTCGGCTTGGGATCTTTTGTCGCACTTTAGTAGATGTAAAAAAAAAAAAATTCTCTGACACTTAATGGTAGATGTCAAAAAAAATCTCTGACACTTAATCCCCCCCCCCCGGGCCGCTTTTTTTTCAATTTGATGTTTGGTTCTTTTTTACGATGTATTTGTAGAATCGCATCTTCCCGCAGGATGTCTGGCATCAGGATTTAATTGAGGCCAATCAGGCTTTAATCCTGATTTCATCAGGATTTGTGAAAAGTCGGCCGTCGATCGGATCGGATTTTTTTATCGAGCTATTTTTGTGAAGTTACATTCGCCTTGCGCGAAGGTAGTTTTTCTCCGCAAAAAATCAGGATTTGGAAAAATTATGAAATCAGGATTTCCCAAAATGACACCCTGTCCTGAATTTTTTTTTGTTTTTAAATACATTTTATTCAAAAAATAACGTAACTACAACATGGCCGAATTAAAGGGGTGGCCACATGGGCCGCGGCCCATGGCGGCAAAATGTAGGGGGCGGCAAATTTTACAATCTTTTTGAAAGTAGGTATCAAAAAAAAAAGAAAGAAAAAATCGGATTCAGAAAATAAATTACAAGCGAGAAAATGCGACAATATCTCTCATTTCCTGAGAGTAAAAGTATATTAAACATCTAACGTTATTGTCTTTCGGTGACACCAAAGACAACACCTTTAATTAGTCGAGTTTAGAGAGAAACCAAACACGCAATTCGACGTTGAGCGGAGCGGCGCAGAGAGCAATGATGACGAGGACTGAGATGAAAAGGAGAAGCCTTCGGCGCGGTGGCCGGCATGAAACGCATAGCGCCTATAAGACTGTATGGATACTTCACGCATTGCGTCAAACACACTGCGGTCAACAGCAGTCGCTCGGCGTGAAACGCATAGCGCCTACAAGACTTCATGAATACTTCACGCATTGCGCCAAACACACGGCGCTGCGGTCGGCGTGGCGCAACGGCAGGAGTTAAAATTATTAAACCACATGTATGTTTGTTCTTTTATAATGTGCTCGTTCATTTCTTATGAGTGGAATGCCTTGTCCAAACAGAGGTGGGTTTTAGTGTTGACAGGGCTGTCACAAAAAATGTGCCCAACACGAGTGAACACGTCTCATACACCCCTCCTCTACCGGCAAGTTCACTTGACGAATTAGAAGGGGCGGAAAATTACAAGCGGCCCGTGGGCGGCAAGTAGGTAAATCCGGCCCTGAACTACAACAAGAATATATATGTCTTGGATCGGATCGGTTTTTAGCCATGAAAAGGCTCGCAAGTTTTTAACGCATCTCCTTGTGCTAGAAAGTAATTGTTCGATTGATTATGGCACAAGTCAACGTGGAAAGAGATTCTTTGTGCCTATTACCGCATATCGCCGCGCGTTTACATCATTCTTATCAGTTGCGTCATTCCCACGGCCCTTTACAGCGCGATTATAGTCACCTCTTTACTAATTTCGTGAAGCTTATAAAGACTGCCAATTTTAGTGGCCCTCCTTCAGTCCTAAATCCTCTTTTTAGGTCGATAAAATTGATAAGGGCTAACAAGTGGAGCTTCGTAAATGGAACCATGCGATGGTGAAGAAACTTCTGCCTGTATTTCTTACCTGTTGTGAGGAAGAGCACAGAATTTGGAGGGAAATAAGTACTTACCAATTGTAAGTCGTTTGAAGATAAAGCAATATATATTCCATTCATTCAGAGAAAATAAATATGTGCAAAAATCTTAACAAAAGTTAAACGTGTGAAAATCGAGGATATATACACAGGGCCGATCCGCAATACGCCATATAACCAAGCCAACGTTAAAGTCGATCAAATTTGAATTTTTGTATGATTTTACTTCTCTGAACGAGTAGAGTGAGGAGGGTGTGGATTTGATCGACATGAATCGATTGAAAAAAAACGTAAATCGATTGACGTGATTCGGTTGAAAATGAATCGATCGAAAACACCGTGAATCGATCGAAAACTTGTGAATCAATCGAATTTGTCGACCGAGTCGCCGTTGATCGGTTCACGTTTTCATTTTTCGATTCATACCTACATTTCGATCGAATCGACACTGGTTTGTTTAAATTAACTGCCGATCGAATCGGTTTCGACAGAATCACGCCGATTGGTTCTTGTTTTTTTATTTTTCGATCAGTTCAATTTTTCAATTTTCCATCGATTCATGTCAATCAAATCCATACCCTCCATATAAAGTAAGATGTCTTTAACGACTCATACGGCTAACACGTGCCACCCCCTCCCCCCACATGCGGCGCATCTCTTCACCAGCGTAGAGTACTGCCGTGTTAAGGAAGAACGCCGTATGAACATTTGAGAGTTGCCAGATTTCCTTCGATAAAATATTTATTATTTAGAAAATTTATGAACATTTTACCTTGAAATTTTCAGGAACTTCAGTTGGAACTGCGCGCAAAATTACCCGCAAAATAAGAGGAAGAATATTCATAAGTTTAGCGGGAAATGCGTGTTTTATCAGAGGAAATTTGGCAACGGATGAAGGTTCATACGGTTTTTTCCTCAGTTTGGCAGAATATTAGGCAATGATTTTCTTCAGAATCGCGTGGTCCCACTTACGAGCTCCATTTTAATGCTCATACCAATGTTAACATTGGGATATCACCGCATTGAGGAATGTTTTGCGAACTTTTTACAACAGAACTCGTCAAAAAATGTAAAGCCAGTCTCAAGTTATGTCTTATCGAAATCCATGGTGCGATAGACGTAGCATCGAGAAAAATGTTTTACCATTTATATCGATTATAATCTGCAATATTCAACTATAGATCTTTTTCGATAGTGGTTCGAAGTATCGTTTGGTTCAAAACAATAGATTATAACCGCAATAAAATCTTTCAGGATTTCAGTCGGAAAAGCTGAGAATGAGAAAATTCCTAACTATTTCACCTTGCGATGCCATTTAGTGCTCATAAGAATCAAAAATCTATCAGAAAAACCCTGTTTCCTCAGATTACCCGATTTACTTTTGAAACTATGTTTACATGTTGAACCAATCGATATCGATAAAATCTCACCTATTTGATGTATCAAAAACGATCTATACCATCTGTATTAGCTCAGGAATGGGCACAACCGATAGAACTTATTTTTTGGCCGTATTGGGGAGAACTTTCTAACGGTTACCACCTTTTTAATCC